GGTACCGGTCCGCTAGGACGGGGGGGTCCCGTGGGGCTCCCGGTACCGGCTGCCCGGGAATGGGGGGGTCCTGTGGGCCTCCCAGCACCAGCCTGCTGGGACGGGGGGGTCCTGTGGGGCTCCCGGTGCCGGCTGTCCGGGAAGGGGGTCCCGTACGGCCCCGGTGACGTGCCGCGCGCCAGGCACGTGATGCTGCCCAAGGACATCGCCAAGCTGGTGCCGCGCACGCACCTCATGTCGGAGTCGGAGTGGCGGAACCTGGGCGTGCAGCAGAGCCAGGGCTGGGTGCACTACATGATCCACGAGCCCGGTGAGCGGCGCCGGGGCCGGGCGGTGCCGGCGGGCCCGGCCCGGCGCTGAGCGCCCCCCGCTTCCCGCAGAGCCCCACATCCTGCTCTTCCGCCGCCCGCTGCCCAAGAAGCCGGAGAAGTGACGGCAACGGCGCCGCGCGGGGCTCCCCGGCCGCCGGCCCGCGCCGACAACGGGCACCGGGGAGTCCTCCGGCCGGGCCCCCGGCTCCTGCGCGCCGGCGCCGGGCGGCCTCTCCCCGCCGCGGCGCCCGGGTCCTGCCCGCGGCTTCAATAAAGGGACGTTTCGGAGGGCCCTGCCCCGCGCTGCTCCTTGGGGTGCCGGGGGGAGCAGGCGGGGGCCCGGGAGGGGGTTGGAGGGTCCCGGTGGCCCCGGGAAGGGTCCTGAGGGCGCTGGAGGGTTCCCGGTGTCCCGGGATGACCCCACGGGAGGGTTCGGGGGTGTCATGGGAGGGGGCTGGAGCGTTCCCGGTATCCCGGACGGTGTCCTGGGAGGGGGCTGGATGGTTCCCGGTGTTCCCGGGAAAGGGGGTGGGGCTGGTGTCCCCGCGAGGGATTGGGTGGTGTCCCGGTATTCCCGGGGAAGGGGCGGGGCCGCTCGCACGTGGCCACGCCCCTAGGGGCGGAGCGAGCCCCGCGGGTGCGGGGGAGGCGCCTCCTCCCACCGTCGGCTCAATGGTTGAGACCGCGCCGTGACGGGCAGCGCTGCCGCCCAATCGGGAGCGCGAGGGCGGAGCCCGCCCTGCGGCGGGCGGCCAATGAGGCGCACGCGTTTGGGGGGCGGGTCGCCGGGGCCGGCCGGTCGCCCCGGTCCGGGCGGATGTTGGGGGCGCTGAGGGCGGGCGCGGCGCTCCGCGCCATGGCGGCCCCGCGCGGCCCCCYCACCGCCGCCATCATCATCATCGGCGACGAGATCCTCAAGGTGCCTGCGGGGCCGGGGCGGCCGAGCGGCCCGGGGCGCCGCGGGGACCCGCCCGCACAGCGAGGGCTCGAAGGGGCCGGCCCGGGGGGACCGGGGCTCGTGGGGAGGGGGCCGTGGAGCTTGGAGGGGGCTGCTGGTCTTGGGGAGGGGGCTACAGGGCTCAGAGGGGCTACTGGTCCCTGAGGAGGGGGCTACCGGGCTGGGAGGGGGCTGTGGGCCCTGGGCAGGGGGCTGCCAGTCTTGGGGAGGGGGCTGTGGGTCATAGGGAGGGGGCTATGGAGCTTGCAGGGGGCTCTGGGCCCTGGGGAAGGGACTGCGGGGCTTGCAGGGGGCTACTGGTGTTGGGGAAGGGGCAACCAGCCCTGGGCAGGGGGCTACGGGCCCTGGGGAGGGGGCTGAGGGCAGTAGGGAGGGGGCTATGGAGCTTGGAGGGGCTCTGGGCCCCGGGGAAGGGGCTGCAGGGCTTGCGGGGGCGGCCGGTTTTGGGCAGGGGGCCGCGGGGCTGACGCGGCCGCCGGCAGGGCGAGACGCGCGACACCAACTCTCCGCTGCTGT